GGAACTTGGTAAAATAAGGTGCAGAGGAATAAATGCTCAACGCTCTGCCACGGGTAAATCTGGCATCGAACTTCCAATATGCTATGAAGCCATAGTAACTACCTACTGTACAATCCAGGTAACTGTTTACCCAGTAAGACAAATTTCATTTCAACGCGACTGTCAAGCAAACTGGTACAAGGTAGCATGTGTATTGAGGTAGGAAAAAGATAAAAGAGTTCAGATACTCAAGTTGACGGGAAATCACTTTCGCCACTCAGAGAAAGAAGCCATCACTTCCACTCGCGCATGACCCCCACTACAAGCAGGGGCACCAAAATTAGATGTCGTGACTCGTGTATGTGAAGTGATTCCCCACGCCAATACAAACGGGATGAATTGCAGAATGGCTGAATAATCTAGCCCGAGAGGTACGACCAGTACGCGTGTCACACCGGATAAACCGAGCCGGCAATGGACCACGAATCTAGTTTTAGATGCTTAGTGAGAGACTAGGCGCATACATATTACACAACTTCATTTCTATGCGAACCAGGTGGGTACTGGGTGTCCTTCCCATATCCGTAAAGATGACGGCATCCTATTGGCAAGCTTGGGCAAGGCTCGTATCGGTACCTGTTGCGACAAGAATATGCCCAAGTATTTGTACCAGCCGAAAATAACGTTCTTTGGTTGCCGAAAGCTCAAGCTCTGAAGCTTATGGAAAATCACGATATTCAGAGATCTTCGATGCGACGGGGCCATGGCCGAGTATGGAGAATGCTAGGCCCGCTTCCTGGTGTGATTGAGAAGACGCCATAGTAGGACAACTGTCGAATGCACTTGTAAACACAGCACATAGTCTGCTCGCTTTGTAAAATGAGTAGCTTGTTGATTACAAGCTGTGTTCACTGTGCTAACTTGAAGGTTAATGTCCACGTGCCATGGTACCTCTTTTGTGTTCGGACGCATCTGAAAACGGGCGCCAAGGGGTGTGCTAGACATATACCTTTCTGGTAGACGAACAATACCGGTGTACATTTATTATCATGGAAGACAACAATTTTGAGCTTCTAAATGGGGAAAATGTGCAAGGATTGTCATAGCTACATTACCGGCTCTGAAAATCTCGAATCCGCGCTGCTTTCGAATGTCAAAAAAACAGTGATAAGAGGTTTTTATCGCATCGGTTGCTTGGCGAATCACATTCGGCAGGTAGAGGTACTTCAAGGGAAACGCATTAAAAATATACCACGGGAGCTGCCTATTCTAAGAAGCTCTCGTCGTATTTCTCACAACGATGGTCTGATTTGACTCGATTTCGTAGGTAAGACCATTTCGAATGCCGAGGTTTATATGTTGGTAAGAACATAACGCGCTGAATGATCAAGCGAGAGTAAGATCTTGCATCGTGGTCCCATTCAATCATTGGTATGATGAATGCATTATGTATCATGTATCACCGCAGACACTAATGAAGCCTGGAGGCGACAGCGTGGTCTGATTGTACGCTGGGGATGTCGTCTCTGGGTTCCTAGTTGCTGGTTCTCGTCGAGTCATTATGTAATTTCGCCTCTCAAGAATATGATACATCTCTTCGATTTTTATATCTCGTGATCCTAGGAGAAGGGGGTTCGGGGTTCTGGTTGTTCGATACGGAAAGTGGAAGTCGATGTCATGTGTGCCAAGATATCATAGAAAACCCCAGATTCTCGTTGGCTCAACTATGGTTGATTCATTCCTTTCACTTCTCCACCCCCACGCTCCTTCACTGAATCGCGACAAGAAACGGCTGTCCAAACATGTTACCAACACCATGATCTTGGATTCTTGTTCCAGCTAAGCCATCTGGGGAATCATCTTACACGACCAGGGTCGATGAACCCCGCGATTTTCAGGGATCGAGGTCATTATACCGTATCAGCAGACATTTCACTCTGCAGCGACAAGTAAGACTACAATTCGATGAAAGGCCAGACTACGTACGTTCATATACACCTGGAAGAAAGACAAACTTTTCTATGGGCATGATTTCTCCAGCCCAATATGAGTGAACTTTTGGCAAAATACAAAAGTTCAGCTCTAGAGAATATAGTGTGGTTAGTGCTGAGTGAGACTGCTCTGAGTCTGAGCCTCCATCTCATAACTTTTGTTTGTTTTTACCATCAATCAAGATCCAGGAATTGCCCCCCAGCCAAACCCGTTGAAAAGATCTTACATTATCGTACTCGGAGAGGTGGATGTTTCTTGAGGTCATGATGCAAATAAGCAATTGAATTTGGCAACAGATTATTGGATAAACGTTCGACTTTACCTGAAGTATCATGTATGCGGTGAGGTGAAGTTGTCTAGGAAGGATCAAACGGTGCCCGACATGCAATGGAATACGGGGTTCAGAGATTTCACTTTCCCTTTTCCTTACATTTCATCTCTTGGCAAGCAGAAAACACCAAGATAGGCTTCTCTACCGTTCTCTATTGAATTCAGAATACAACATCGTTGATGATCATTGATCAAAAACGGAGCGTGCAGCATATCACATATCGAGATGCAGTCAATCAATTACTAATTGCCAGATCAGGACCCAGCTTTGTTAAGCTAAGCGTGTAATTGGTCGGGCAATTGAGGGGTTAGTTGTCGTCACTTGCCCATCACCTGCTACTTCTTGCCGTCGTCAACATGGAAAGTAGCATTTAGATTTCACGATGTTTTCTTTACCATTATGCAAGGCTAGTATCTGCCTACGCTTCACAATCGCCCATCTTGCATTTGTATCTGGTCTTACTTTTCTTCGCCGTTTACTAACATGACTAGGGAAAACAAGCCATGCTACGAGGTCCGCCTCCTAGAGTATTCTTGACCCCCCACACTATGCGACGAAAGAAGTAGCTCGTATACGCCACCAGGAACATGCCGAGGAAGCAATATTTAATATCTAATTGTTACCCACGCAAAGGTCCTTGATAACATCATTTCAAGAACTTTGCCTTCCTTTGAGTCAATGTTGTCTTAGACTTGCCTTCTCAAATAGAATCCAACTAAACCCTCACATTCCAAAAAAGCATAGCCTTGTTGTTTCTTTCTAGCACACATCTTGGTACATATAATTCGAATACCTTATATTCACCATGGCGCCACACAGTAACGATCCATCTTCACCTGCGAGAGAGTTCTCAAGAGATTTTAAAATGTCTTTCCATCCTCCAATAAACTCTCTCTTAGGAGACTCGAGCAACGAAAATAGCATATATTCAGTGAAAGAATCCTCATACAGTTCGTCATACAGTAGTGTCTCAACAGAAGCCGACGATCACATGGCTCGACCTCTAGTTCCTGGCGTTTACGTTCCCACAGTTTGTTTCTTCGACCCGACCACGGAAGAACTCGATACGGAAACTATCTCTAGTCATGCGATTCGTCTCGCGAAAGCTGGAGTCACAGGTCTAGCCACTCAAGGCTCTAACGGCGAAGCTGTTAATCTCACCCACGCAGAACGTCAGACTGTGACGGCAACAACTCGTGCCGCACTCACTTCGGCTGGGTTCCCACATCTTCCTATCGTTGTCGGTTGTGGCGCACAATCTGTCCGAGAAACGGTGCAATATTGCCGAGAAGCCTTCGCGGCTGGAGGAGATTACGCACTTATTCTACCACCTTCGTATTATGCACCTCTATTTTTGCCTTCCTCTGCTTCCGTAATCGAGTTTTTTACGACTGTAGCGGACCAATCCCCAATTCCATTGTTGATCTACAACTATCCGGGAGCGGTATCCAGTATGGACCTTTCATCAGACGTCATCATCAAATTATCAGCTCATCCCAACATCGTGGGTGTGAAGCTGACTTGTGGCAATACTGGCAAATTGAACCGAATCGTGGCAGCCACAAGAACTTCCAAGCCACATTCCCCCGCATCTCCGCCATTCTTGGTTCTTGGAGGCAGTGCCGATTTCACCCTACAAAGTCTGATTGGAGGTGGTCATGGGATCCTCGCCGGGTTAGCAAATATTGCCCCGAAGGCTTGCATCGAAATGACCAAATTATACCACGAAGGAAAAATCAAGGAAGCTCAGAAACTTCAGGAAATCGTTGCTCAAGGTGATTGGGCCGCTATCCAGGGAGGTGTTGTGAGCACTAAGGCTGGTATGGAGAGTTGGTTGGGATATGGAGGATATGGTCGTGCACCGCTACCTCATCCTACTAGTGATGAGATAACGAAGTGGAAAGAAGGCTTCCGGGAATTGGTTACTTTAGAGAAGAGCCTTTAGATGAGGTCTCCTCTGGCTCTAGGTTCTAGGCGTTTGATCTTCATCCATCGTTCTACACAGCTTGTTGGTGTACACTTACAGCAATAGTCTCGAAGTCTATTTTTGCGTTTGATCTAAAAGTTTCACTTTTTGGGCATTATGGTTCGGCAAACCCCTTTCAATTCCATTTCACACTTATATCTTTCGCAATCGTATTTGTCCATGATTCTAAAGCTGATTTTGGCTTCAATAATATGTATTTGTTCTAGAGTAAAAGCCGGAGGAATATCTGAACTCTCTATACAGAATCAGTATCCGTTTCGAGCAAACTTGTTTCTTGGAAAAGAGTGCTCAACTTTCCTGTCGCAGAAAATTCTGGAGGTTAGATGCTTGATACATGCACACATACATGCATCTTTTAAGTAGGTAATTTGATTTATCAACATCGATCTGACACATGTGGACATGAAAAAAAGAGTGTGCAGAGGCAAAACGAATCTTTCGGCTTCGAGAGAAATGTATGTAGATTAGGAAATACAGGCAGGTTAAAATAAAACTTGACATAGCATAATTGTTCACATGCATATACTAACTATATTATCAAAAAAAGGACTTGCGCGACGACCATTACCAAATCTTTTTAGAAAGGCAAATAAAAAAATTGCCACAAGATACAATATTGTGCATATTAGCTAACCCGTCAAAGAGTTCTACAGATCGTTCCACATGGCTAACTGTATGATTTCTCATGTTCTATGTCTCTCGGTGATTCCTTCATGGATTGGGCTTCTTATTACGCCTTTCCAGTTCCTTGCGCCCTTTCTCAACATTCTCTATGAGCTTCTCAAAATGCTGGGAAGCTTGCTCAGCGCCTTTTCCGCGGAATCGCTCTAGGTTTTCGGCGGCTTGACTGGCAAGAGCTTGATCACGTTGGACTTCTTTCTGTAGCTCTGCGGTGTTGCGTGTAAAGCCGTTGATGAGGTTGACGCCATTGCCGATAGAATCCACTGCAGAATTGGGAGACTTCCCTTGGTTAATGACATTTTGCATTTTCTTCTGCTTCGCGGCGGCTTGTTTGCCGGCAGCTTTAGCTTTAGTGGATTCTTTTGCTGCTGAGGATTTGGATTTGGAGGGACTGATTTTGGTAGCAGGTTTAACCTCAGATGTTTTCGCTTTGGAAGGGGAGTCGGTTGAACGTAGGCTACGAGCTGGAGTTACGGGTGGCTTGGTGACTTTGCTGGCGGCGGCTTTGAGCTTAGGTATCGGTATTGGTGTTTTGGATTTAACTTTCGAGGGGGCTTCCTTTGAGGCTGCCTTTTTGATAGGTTGAGGCTTTGGCTTTGATACAAGTGTGGCTCGTGATCGAGCGGACCTTGTGTTGGCAAGGGGCGGCGAATCAAAGGGGATGAAGTCTATAGAGTGTGATATGGGGTTGGATATAGAGTTATTGAGAGTTCCAAACTTGGGAATCGCGAATCCTGTAAATTGGGGGGTGTTTGGACGCAGCTGGGGTAAGACTGGTTGTTGTGACGGAGCAATAGCTTTCTTTGAGGCTGGATGTTTTTTATGATTTAGTTTCTTCGTAATGACTTTCTTCGTAACTCCATTCCGATTTTTATAAGATCGCCACCTTTTACTTTGTCCGAGCAAAGCTTCGATCTCCCATCCTTCGATTCTGTTGAACCCCGCTAGCCAATCTCCAGACTCGACATCAACATTGCCCTCTTTGTCTACTACGACTATACCGACTTTGTCTTCTATATTCTGTTCAACCTGTTTGCCCTCTTTATTTTTCTCTTCGTCGGTGGGCGTAAATACAGTTGTCGTTGTTTTGACTATCTTTCCGCCTGGTACAAGCATGGTTTTCTCCCGTGTCATTCTACTTTCTCTGATACCCTGGGGTTCTGGATCGTCAATCACCGTGGCATCCTGAGCAGCTTGGTCCAGCCCGAAAGCCGTGTGGTGTGGAATATTTACAGTAGCATGTTCAAAATCTGGCATTGGATAGTAACCCATCATCGGGTTGGAAAGGTAGCCTGGCATTGAAGGAAAGTTTTGCTGCGACGCCATCCAATCAGCATACCAGTCTTGCTTTTCGGAATCGAAGTCTCGTGGGTGTCCGGGTCCAAACCACGGTCCATACGATCCTAATGATTGAGGTACTGTGTGTACCTGCCCTGAAAACCTATTTTGATTCCAATCCATTGAATAGGGCCAGTTTGTTGAAGAAAAGTCTGAATACTGCGTCATAGTCTGAGGATATTGCGGGCTGAACCCTGAGGAATATTGCGGGAACCCTCCAGCTGGAGCTGTAGGTACGTTCTTAGATGATGAAATACTAAGTCCCTCTCCATCAGCACGAAAACTGCGGCTAGTATCAGCAGCAGCACCGGGGTTAGTTTGGTCTGCTGTTTTCCCTGAGGATGATAGAACTCCAGTTCCTGGTATTATAGAACTATTTCGCGCCAGGTTAAAAACAGATTGGTTTCTTGGACTCGTGTTGAAGCCATGCGGTCCCCCAAATCCTGGAGAGTATCTGAACCCCATGGCGGCATTGAACCCCGGAGAAGGTTCCGTTCCAGTGGATATACTCGCCCGTGGGTAAGTCGGATCGGGGAACTTTCCTTCCGCTAGGGAACTCAAGCGTTGTTGTTTGTTGGCATCGAAGAGCTGAGAGGTCTGCTCTCCTCTGTCTTTCGAAGATGGTGGGGGAATTGCAATGTGCGCCTTATCTGTCATCGAGCATGTTCTATCATGCTTGGATCTCGCAGATCTTGGCGACTTAGACTTTGGTGTTCCATTGACCAACCCATTTCGCGAACTTGGTGAATTGAAAGCTGGGGACTTGGTGGAATCCCATTGAGAAAGCAAAGCTGCGGTGTTCTTACGAGAGCTTTCTGTGGAGAATGGATTCGGATAGGTTGCTTCTTGACGTATTATTTGATCATTAGAAGTAGATCTCGAGGGCTCCCCCGTAGTTGCTGCTCGTCCTTTTACTTTTCCTTTGTGAGCCGAACTTGTCTCTGAAGTGGATATCTTCTCAGGAACGGATTTCTTTGAACGACCTGGAGTTTTCTTAATCTTTTGGGGCGTAGTCTTTGGGACAGGTTCAGATGATGTTTTCGGATTGTCTTTTGCTGCCCGGGCTAATCTCACTCTGGCAGGAATAACATTAGTATCTTTTTGGGGTGCCATGATGATGACTGAAGCTTCAAAATGTTGCAGGTTTTGACTTGAGATCAAATGAAGATATCAATTTTCACAACAAAGATATCTTCGGCATGCAGTTTCCGCATTGGACTATGTCTCACAAAGAGAATCGCCCCTTACTGGAAGATAATTGATAGTATGCTCAAGGCCAAGGACTTCCTCGAATCTACGCTTGTAGAATAAAATATAAGATGGCCATGTCAAAGCCAAGCCATGTTTGTTGGAGATTTGGAAGCAAGGCTCCCGCCATCATGATTTACGAACCACGATTTGTTTTTTTTTTCGCACGACCAGTAGCTCATCAAGAACTCTGCCTTGCCTTTTCCCACGATGCTGTGAATTAGCCTCAATTGATGAGGTGTTTTTACCTATCAATGGGTATGTTGGCCTGGAATAATTGTTCACCGGCCGTGGATGAATTGCAGTTGTCTCGCGGGTGTCAATCTTAACCTTATCAGACGATGGTGCTAGGATGTCGACATCGCTATCAATGATGGACCCCTCACAACTCTCTAAATCCAGGCTTCAGTCTCGAATTGGTGAGAGAAAATTTATTCCCATCCTGTTCCTTAATAGGTATAATTAGATAGCTACAGCTAGATTTCGTTTGAAATTCTGTTGTATCTCAAGCTATAAGTATTAGAGACATAAAGATTCTCTCTTGATTTCTATTTCATTTCCATTGCCATTGCTAATTCTTGTTGCTTCTTCTTCTTCTTCTTGTGTCCTTCGATCTGCAGTCAGAATTTAGATACATGAAGTTTCCGGAATCTCAAGCTCAAAAGCTCAAGCTCACCTCCAGACCTTCGTTTACGACTGGCACAAGTAAGGTAATTCATGATGGCTTTGAGATACTTCCATCATTTCATCGCCGAGGTGGGCCTCATTACTCTCTGCAAATCACCCCTCGATACCAAACTTCTATGCCTTCAACGCTTCACCCGAATGTTTGCATATGCCACAGCCACCCTCATTCTCGTTGAATATCTGTCCATACTTCAAATCTCCAAGACGAGGATAGGGGTCTTCATGACCTTGACATTGGTTGGAGATACATTGATTAGCTTTGTTCTTACATTATTCGCAGATGCGCTGGGAAGGAAATCAATATTGGCGGTGGGCTCAGGGCTAATGATGGGGAGCGGTATTGTTTTTGCGATTTGTGAGAACTATTGGGTTCTACTTGCTGCTGCCGTTTTGGGAGTTATCAGTCCCAGGTATGATACAGCCTAATTTTTTGCCGTTCGGAGGTATTGATATCACGTTCATAGTGGAAATGAAATAGGTCCCTTCAGAGCAATCGAAGAATCCACTCTTGCACAACTTACCCCCGCATCAAATCGAAGCGACATATATGCGTGGTATTCGTTGATAGGAGCAGCGGGCCAGGCGTTTGGATTTGTTGTTTCTGGTTGGGTCATCAATTACTTACGAAATGAGTGTGGCTGGACTGATATCTCTACCTATCGAGCTGTATTTTGGAGCTACGCGCTGTTTGGGTTCATCAAACTTTTACTTTCAGTAGGACTTAGTCGAGCAGTGGAGATTGAGGATAGATATTCGCCGGTCGAGGACCCGGAAATTGCTCCATTGTTAGGCGACGGAGCTGAAGTGGTGGTTGCCACGAAAAAAGGTTATTTTGTCTCAAAGTTGCCCGATATAAGCAAGGAGAGCAGAGTCATTGTGTTGAATCTTTGCCTCTTGCTGGGGCTTGATTCTTTTGCGTCCGGTCTTGTACCCCTGTGAGTCTGATTCCATTCTACTCTTGCTCTGTTAAGCTAATCAGAGGAACGCAGCTCGTGGGTGACTTATTTCTTCCATGAGAAGTTTGGCATTGAAGAAGGGAAATTGGGCTCTCTTTTCTTCACTACAAGTATCATATCAGCTTGCTCAATGCTAGTTGCGTCATCTTTAGCAAAACGTTTTGGAAATGTCAAGGTACTCTTTCAATTCCTCTCACGATGCAGTTGTTTCTAACACAGTACCTCCAACAGACGATGGCATTTACTCATCTTCCCTCAACTATCTTTCTCGCTCTGATGCCCGTGCCTTCTAGCCTTCTCTTTACAATAATATTTCTCATACTCCGACACTCCACATCATCTATGGATGGAGTACCGCGTGCTGCCTTTATCGCCGCAGTCGTCCATTCCCACGAACGCACTGCGGTCATGGGACTTTTGAATGTCGTTAAGACATGTGCGCAAAGTCTCGGCCCAGTCATCACGGGCGTGTTGGCGGGACAAAATCTTTTCTGGGTTGTATTTGTCTCCGCGGGAATTCTTAAAGCCTTCTACGATCTAGGGCTACTGGCTATTTTTGCCGGCCATCAGACTCACGATGATAAAGCAGAGGAGGAGAGGAGACTGCTAGAAGCGGAAGCAAGAGCGGTTGCAGAGAGAAGTGCGAACGTTGAACCCTAGATGAAATATGGCATTCAGTGATAAGAATGGCCAGAGATAATACCAATTTTATTTCAGTTAGATGGTACAATAATGGGTTATATTGGTGGCTTGCCAGTCATTGTCTGGGGCCGTGAAACAAGAGTTGATTTAAACGATTTCATACATTTCAACTATCGAAAATCTTGGGATCTTCTGAAACCTACCTGTGAACATAATCCCGCGTTTGATATAATCCGTTTGCCCTCTCCTCCAAGCACATTATGGGAAATCCTTCGACGCGATGACAATAAATTCAAACTTGGTTTTGCTCATCTCAGAGACATCAGTGCCGAGACATACGCAACTCCTTCATTAGGCTGCTTCTCCATAACATAAATTTTGTGAAAATGAGTTTTTGAGAGCTCTGTTGACATTTCATCACCGACAAATTCTAATGGTGTTGATCCACCCCTTGATCTTTTGCTATGATATTGAATATAGTACATATGTAGTATTGGCCTGAAAATGGTGTAAAGACACTTGAAAGGTTTGCAGAGTGGGATTAATACCAACTAACATCCCATCCTTTGTCTCTCCAAATAGCCTCATTTTGCATAGGTATCAATATAGCTTCTCTAGACGAAGTTGAGGAACACTTTCGAAGTTTCATTTTGGTGCTGAAGCTCCCCCTACTTTTGCTTGATCTTTTGTTGAGATGATCGCTTCTGGTACCTCTGTTTATCTTCCACATCGAATGAATATTCGAGATTGTCGCGTGAGGTAATGCTGACCTGAAGGGCTTGATTTTGATCAACTTGTACTGATTTTACTTGCCGTCTATGGATACGGAATCAAATATACCACAGTATGCAATAAGATATGGAAGACGTCAATCTGATTACCCAACGTCAAGGACACTGGTCTGTTAAGATTGGAGAGATGCCATTATGCAACTGATCTCATCCATGAAAGGGTAAGCGAAGAATGGCGAAAAGGGGCAGGAGCGGCCACTAGCGCTTCTGAAATATTCTTTGATCCATTACTCCACATCTCTTTCACCTTTAACTGTGTTTCATACAACGGAATGAAGGGCCAGGATATTGAGGCAATCCCAACATATTCGGAGTGGAGAGAGTTGAGCTCGTTCTCAAGACTGTCGTCGAGATACGAGCAATCCGTACAAGATTATTCACATTAATATCCTACCCCTGGGATTTTTTGCACTTACTTTACAATTGACCATCTCGCCGGAGACATCGAATGATTCCTACCCGGTAGCCGAAAATTTCGTTGAAGCCCACTCCTCAAATCGTTCCGTCATGTTTCAACTACCATGCGCGCTAGAGGCTTTGCAGAATTAGATTGCTTTTCGAGAACTTCTTGATGCAAACAATATGATGAATAGGTCTTGGCTTCAAGTATTCTACAATATGACGTGCATAAACGACAGAGTCGTAAAGAGACAGTATAAGGATTTAATAGCCCTCCCCCGTTGCCCTTTGGATGTCGCCTCACATCTTATTTTTTGGTGGGGGGGGGGGAACTCTTGCTGCTCATCTTGATCCTTAAGGATGTACAGTGCTCACGATGTCGTTTTCTTTAAGACTGCGAGTCAAGCTCCAATGCTGTGTTTGTGGAACGATAAGAGACTGCTTATCGTGGTTCATGCGTGAATCACGAATGCGGGGTACAATACTTGTCGCCCCGCTGTTGACTTTTCTTGATATTCTTTGATATCTGAAAGCATGGAGCGACGAATGAGACCCTTTTGATTTCGTGTTGACACTTCATCCTCGAAAGCGGACCGGAGGTTTCCGGTATAATAAGCCAGCTGCTCGGAAGAAATTCATCCACAGTTGGGCAGCGGTAATGGCCATCAGCAACGCAGCATGGCTGCCGACAAAGCTTGGTGATGTTACACGTCTTTCATGTAATACACCTCTGAGTTTTCCTTTTGAATGCCTAATTTTTACCTAAGATAGCACTACCATAGCATACCGCTCTTTTCTCCACGAAAACCGAAGTTTTCTCCCATGCGCAATTTCCGAAATCGACTGTCAGTGACATTCGCTTTCAATCAATGAGGTAAGAGATTAATATGTACCGTCAGCATGCAGTAACGCAAGTTCAACAGCAGTGAAAGAGCATAATCTTTGTCGAATCTCACCGCCTTATTCCCCAATAATCATTCGGCGTTTGGCTTTTTTCCAGGACTCCCTTAGACACTCCGATCACGCGTGTTGTTGTTCTCACTGCAAATGTAAATACCGTATAAACTCGACAAACTGAGATTCTATTTAATCGTGTTTAGCCTAGTACATAAACCTTATCTCACAAACTAAAGTAAAAAAGAAAATTCTGAAAATTCTCAATAAACTATTATCAAGTCTATCATCAATATTTTACTCTATAAGTAAAAGTTCTTTTAGTATTTAATAATAAAGATAGGACCTAAACTAAAAAGATTTTTCAATTAGAATTGTAAAAAATCAGATTTCATGATTTATGTGATAAAAATATATAAATCGTTTAGAAAAGTGAAAAAAATGTCGAATTTCAAGAGGTTCGGTTGGGGAGATTGGTAATATATTAGGCTAGATG